AAGCGTTAGTTAATAATGATTGTCAACATATTTACTAAGCAAAATACCATTTCACACAAAAGAGATTTGGGTTGGAATTGATGCGACTCCGACATTAACAGAAGACTCTAGGGCCCAAGAAAGGCCCATTCTCTAGAAACAGCAAGGAAATGAACGGCCACGATTACTCCAACAGAAGACCGAATCTGATTGGCTGATGTTATAGATCGCCGCAATATGATTGGTCCACGTCATCGCCGATGACATAATTCCTTCCGTCTTCCCATAAAAAGCGACGACTACTTGACCATCACCACCTTCGCGAACACAGACAGACAGACAGACACTATTTAACAACCAAAGCTAGCCTTCCACAGATTCAAACACAATCAATCTTCTTCATCTTCTTCGATCTAGATCCAACTCACTATGGCTCGCTCGTTCGGAGCGCACGGCACCGTCGTCCTTGCGATCATCTTCCTCGGTTAGTCATTTCTCCCTGAGTTTTGGTGAAACTCTCCTCTGCATTCCGCTGTTTGATCGTTTCGCTCTTACTGGATTTCACCATGTGGATCTCGTTCTTAATTTTGGGTTGCTGGTTTGTGATTAAGCATAGAGGCTCCGGAATTAGGTTCTGAATTTGGGATTTGTTTTATGGTTCAGGATGTTTATTTGCGTTTTCCACTGCTAAAGAAGAGGCTACCAAGTTGGGAACAGTTATAGGGATAGATCTTGGTACCACCTACTCTTGTGTTGGTGTTTACAAGAATGGCCATGTTGAGATCATTGCCAATGACCAAGGAAACCGTATTACACCTTCATGGGTTGGTTTCACTGACTCCGAGAGGCTCATTGGTGAAGCTGCTAAGAACCAGGCGGCTGTTAATCCTGAGAGAACCATCTTCGACGTCAAGAGATTGATCGGAAGAAAGTAAGTACATTTGGGTTTCTTCTTCCCGCATATGGAATGTTGTTGCATTAACGTTTTAAAATTGCAGATTTGAGGACAAAGAGGTGCAGAAGGACATGAAGCTTGTACCTTACAAGATTGTGAACAAGGATGGTAAGCCTTACATTCAAGTCAAGATCAAGGATGGTGAGACTAAGACTTTCTCTCCTGAGGAAGTCAGTGCCATGATCCTCACCAAGATGAAGGAGACTGCTGAAGCATACCTTGGGAAGAAGATCAAGGATGCCGTTGTCACTGTTCCAGGTGACCTTGAATCAACTTGATCTATACTCTTCTTTGTGCATGGTTGGTTGATCTAACCTCTTGTTGTTTTCAGCTTACTTCAACGATGCCCAGAGGCAGGCCACAAAGGATGCTGGTGTTATCGCTGGGCTCAATGTTGCTAGAATCATCAACGAACCCACTGCTGCTGCTATTGCCTATGGTCTTGATAAGAAGGGTGGTGAGAAGAACATTCTCGTCTTTGACCTTGGTGGTGGTACTTTTGATGTCAGTGTTTTGACCATTGATAATGGAGTGTTTGAGGTTCTCTCTACAAATGGAGACACCCACTTGGGAGGTAACCTAACCATGGCCTCAAATGCATTGTCTGCATTTCATCACCTTTAATAACAACACTGCGTTTTCTAGATGTGTTGAGGCATATACGTGATTGTTGTGTTGACCCTTTATGTGAACGTGATTTGTGCAGGTGAGGACTTTGACCACAGAGTCATGGATTACTTCATCAAGCTGATCAAGAAGAAGCACCAAAAGGACATCAGCAAGGACTATAAGGCTCTGGGTAAGCTCCGAAGGGAATGTGAGAGAGCCAAGAGAGCTCTTAGTAGCCAGCACCAAGTCCGTGTTGAGATTGAGTCTCTCTTTGATGGCACTGATTTCTCTGAGCCACTCACCAGAGCCCGTTTCGAGGAGTTRAACAATGATTTGTTCAGAAAGACAATGGGACCCGTGAAGAAGGCCATGGATGATGCTGGTCTACAAAAGAGCCAGATCGATGAGATTGTYCTTGTYGGTGGAAGCACTAGGATCCCAAAGGTTCAGCAGCTGTTGAAAGACTTCTTYGAAGGGAAAGAGCCGAACAAGGGTGTGAACCCCGACGAGGCTGTTGCTTATGGTGCCGCTGTCCAGGGTGGTATTTTGAGCGGAGAAGGCGGTGATGAGACCAAAGATATCCTTCTTCTTGACGTTGCGCCACTCACTTTGGGTATCGAGACTGTGGGAGGAGTGATGACAAAGCTTATCCCGAGAAACACGGTTATTCCAACCAAGAAATCTCAGGTTTTCACCACATACCAAGACCAACAGACCACCGTCTCCATTCAAGTCTTTGAAGGTGAACGAAGTCTCACCAAAGACTGCAGGCTGCTCGGGAAATTCGACCTCACTGGAATCCCACCGGCTCCAAGGTTTGCCTTGTGCCTCTTTTCTTAATAATAATGGTAATCAATCTTGAACATGAACCATCACAATCTCGTTTTTGCAGAGGAACCCCTCAGATCGAGGTGACGTTTGAAGTGGATGCAAACGGTATCCTGAACGTGAAGGCAGAGGACAAGGCGAGTGGTAAATCAGAGAAGATCACAATCACAAACGAAAAGGGTCGGTTGAGCC